GTTGCAATAGTGGTGATGTCACATTGAGCAATTATTTGATACGCATGCTGCGGGTTGAGCATGCCTCTCTGCATCAAGACTGGGGATCCTGTCATATCAGCAAGTCCCCGTCTTCCACCTACACTGACTAGTTGCATGGACACAGTTCCGGTAGCCAGTGCTACTCACATCAGGTTGGGCTGTATGCACACAGGAGCACCTGATGGCAGCAGCCACAGCCTATGTCAAGTACTACACTGACACTGTAGTGTACTGTAGTGTAGTGTAGTGTAGTGTAGTGTAGTGTAGTGTAGTAGTAGTGTAGTGTAGTGTAGTGTAGTGTAGTAGTAGTGCCTACTGGACCTGCTCTGTACACTGTAGTAGTGCCTACTGGACCTGCTGCTGGTACACATACCTTGACATCATCAGCAGGACTTGCACTGCTCCATGTGGAGAACGCTGTACCTATCTGATCCATCACAGCTGTATCAACAACACACAATACACATACCAGTGCACACAGAGAAGCACTAATTAAACCTACTCTAGACTATACCACAGAGAAGCACTAATTAAACCTACTCTAGACTATACCACAGAGAAGCACTAATTAAACCTACTCTAGACTATACCACAGAGACGCAATGTAGAAATTCTCCACTTTCTTGCCCTTAGGCATACTGGCCAACCCTCCCGTTTTTCCCGGGAAAATCCCGGAAAATCAACACTCCTCCCGGGGTCCCGGGGATTTCAAGCAAACTCCCGGAAAAACCAAAGTTGTGTCTGATACAGGATTTTCCTGAAAACTCCATGGTTTCTCCCGAATGTCCCGGTTTTTGAAGTTTTTTCAAAGGTATGTACGGTGCTCATTCGCACTTCGAACTGTGCACAGCACTTTGAAGACCTGACCATGCAAGATCTGCACTGACAAAGTGACAGGCGGGCGCCGACTGATCAAACTGCACTACAGCCTAGTACAGGGTCGATCTGTGCTGTACGCACAGCTGCAGAGTCAAACGTTTTTTTTGCGGGAAAAGCTCTTTTTCACTTGTTTTTGTGCCATCCAGGGATTTTGAGAGAAATCCAGGGATTCTGCATGTCTTGTCAAGGGATTGAGATTGTGGTGGTTGGTCAGTATGCTTAGGTTATACGTTTACTCTCTGTTATTAGATCGTGATGAAACAATAAGTATGTGTAGTTGCGCAAGAGACAAGCTCAAACCCTGGTTGGCAACCATGGCTGGACTTTTTTCCACCCGCATGCAATTCAACTTCCAGTGGGTGGCATGTCCAGGGGTTATCAAATCATGGCAACCCCCCCCCCCCCCCCCCCCATACCCTCCCTTCACTTGCAAATACTATAGTCATTGTGGTAGAAAAGGTGATTAGCAAAGAGGACATCGTTCCGCAAAATTCATCCACATGTAAGTGCAGGCACACGCCGATACACACATGCGCAAGCGTGCGTGGGCACACACATGCGCACACACACACACACGCACGCACACACACACACACACACACACACGCACATATGAGCACACATTCGTGCGCGCACAAGCAATGAAAATTATACCTTTCATTGGCGCCACGAATGTCTCAAATGACTCCTCAGTCTCCGTCTGTCTGTTAAATAATAATCGAGTTAAAGCCGAGTAGAACCGTGTGCGTAATCGCATGTCGGCAAAGAAGACACTGCCAGGTGACTGCTGAGGATTCTTACTGCTGTCAAGGAAGAGAAAACCTTGCGTCTACAAAACACACACACACACGCATGCGCACACGTACAGCCGGAAGCCTCATGCCAGGAACAATATCACCCAAGCACACATGACATGATGGCACACCTACAGTCCATTTCAAAACTATAGACGCGTACCTAGGCAAAAACCGTTATGCCAGCATCTATACCACATAAAATCTGTGATCACTTTGTGCATAATTTTTTCCAAATTGGGCGTCTGTTATCCAATCGTTTAGAAACTATATGAGAGCAATTGTGGAGCGGACCTGAGCAATATTCCGAAAACTATTCTCAAAAAGTTCCAGCCAAATTTGAAATATTTCAAAAACCCTACGCGTCTATAGTTTTGAAATGGACTGTAGCAGCATACTTGCCCGTGGTGTATGTACACAAATGAATACACCTACAAGACATAGGTCACTGCTGACAACTGAACAGAATATAAACAACAACAACATGGGAAACAGTGGGAACAAGTTATGCATTACAGTCCACCAACTGAACCAGATTTGAACAGTCAGACATGCACAATTTAGCACCAGACTGACAAGACCGACAAGTGAGCTTCCCAAGTTGGGTGGTTGTTTTGCGTCGTCGAAATCGTGGATAGACCCTATTTTCAGTGGTCTTACCGTCCCGTTATCGTACCAAGCCAGCATTACATGGGGCCTGGGAATGTAGCTTGTGTTCGGCTCGATGGCACTCACCATCCCCTCTTTGGAATCATCACTAATGTCCACGAACCTTCCAAGTTGAAAGGCCGTTGGTTAGCGCTATTGAGCAGTGCGCAAGCTGACTTCCTTGCCATGGAATACGTCTCAGTACCCCGTGTCAGTCTGGTGCGTAATTGTGTACGTCTGACTGTTCAAAATCTGGTTTAGTTGGTGGACTCTAATGCAAAACATGTACCCCACTGTGTTTCCATGGTTTCAATTTATTATTTCCATTTCCTTGGCGGCTAACCATCTGAGTTCTTAGAAAATTATCCCACAGTAATTAGTGGCAAAAGTAGAAAGTTCTACATTCACATTATCTAGGTCCACCAGTCAACCTCTCAGACGCGCGCGCGCGCGCGCGTGTGTGTGTGTGTGTGTGTGTGTGTGTGTGTGTGTCTGCATCCCAGTACAGTTCACTGCTACATGTACATACCGTGTGATTCTCCAGCAGCAGCTTGACAGAGTCCAGCTTTGCCAGCTTGCGACCGCTGGAAAATGTAATAAATCAAGCCGCCGGAGTTAAGGTAAACCAGTACCACTGAAACAGGTGCAGCATACAACAGTCTACATAACACTATTATTATTATTATCCTGTGCTTGTAGTATCACTCTCGGATTGCTAGTAATGTTGTCCACCAAGACAGGTCCAACAATCTCACTCTAAGCATTCTCTAGCATCAAAATGTGACTTTCATGGAAATGATGACAGCGGCAGTTTCGTGAAAACCTGGATGTTCTTCCACCGTACCAGCATCACAGCACAATATCAAACTCTGATAACAACACAGTTTCAGGCAACAGCAGCAGCGGCGACGATGACAGCAGCGATGACAGTGGCAGCAGCAGCAGCAGCAGCAGCACGATGACACAGTAGCAATAACAACAGTCTGGTAAGATGGGGAGGATATCCAATAGCAAGTTGTTGCAGTAAATTGACAGTCTTATCCACCAGTAGCTGATGAGACCAGTATTTGAGATTCGTCACACTGCGGTGCACACACACAAACACACACGCAAACACGTCAGCGTTAGTGACTGGGATCTTGAACAGCAAGGGAAGACAATTCAATGATTCAATGACCATACTCAGTGGTTTGAGGGTTTGCAATTAGGCTATTAGCACATTGTATATATTCACAATGCTGGAACAGAAAACTTCCCAAGCTAGCTTGCCATATTGCCAGGTGTGTCTTTACCACCATATTTATCAAGCTAGCTTTAAGTCCATAATTATCGAACATTTTTCACAAAACGAAATAATTTCGTTACGAGATGGGAGGGAATTGACCAATTTCGTTACAGAAAACTTTGATACATGTGCATGTGCATGGCCATTGGATCTAGGATCTCTGACACACTTGCAACTATGGATGTGTACAATGGAGACGATTGGCAGTTTTGGAGCTCCTGCTCCGGCCTCCTTTTCTTTTAGGATTGAGAAGGACTGGTCTGCAGACCACTTGTTTTACGCCAAGGCGCTCAAGCAGAGCAAGGTTGATATCAGCCAGGTCTGCCAGGTCGACCTTCAGGGCAAGCCTGGACATTGTGTAGAAACAGTGAAGAGTTCTGCTGAGCAGGAAAAGATACTGATGCAGGAATCCGGATTTCCGGTAAGGAGATGCTATGCGAGGTTTCCGGGGCGGACCTTACCCATCTGCATGTGCTTGGGTGCCATGTCGGGCTTCCAGATACAGTCAAATTGTGTACTGCGCTGGGCTAAATCGGCCGAATTATTGGGCTGCCTCAACATAAACAAGTTTTGTTTGAGGGATAGGAAATAAGTACGGGCACTCGTATTCTCAGCCTGGTCCTCCGATCACCGGTTCCACCTACGGTTACCGTAGGTCATTTCAAACTACGAATATGGCACCGTGGCCAACAGCAAACATATTGGCACTGCAACAACAGTGGCCACGAGGCCAAAGCATGTCCCAACCATGGAGCACAATCTACAGCTTCCCGGCCTTCACAAGTATGACAGTCTGATACACAGCACCGCACCGCAACACAACCAGCACAAACTCTCCCAGCGTCAGTACAGCCACTGAGGCGGTTACAGTGACTACCCAGCCCGCAGAAGCCGTTGCAGAGCCAGCTGTGGAGACAAGTGCAGCCAGCAACACAGGGTTGCACACTGCCTCAGCCAGCAGCTATCGCCAGGCACTTTTAGCCAATGGGACCAGCACTGGCACAACTGATACCACTAACCATGTGCCAGCATTCAGCCAAGCTGGAGATCAAGACAGGAGCAGCGGGACAGCCCCCTCCCCTGATGACGACGACTTCATACTTGCAGCAGGGAAACACACCTTCTCTGCCACTGTCCTGTCCAGCCGCACTGAGCCACCTGCCTCTGCCCTGAAAAACCCGCAAATTGAGTGGGCTGAGGAGTACTCAAATCGGGAGCGCAGGAAGCTGGAAGAGCGAGTTCACGGAAGGCGAAGGTGTGGAAGCCGATAACTGCATGCTATACCGTGCTGACTGCTGAGTAAGTAATCTGAACTATAACCATGTGCACTACACTGTAATTCGTTGTACATTCTTATTGTCATGTTCACCTCTACATAGGAGGCTTCATCGTTTAGCTCTATCATGTCTTCACTTAACCCATTGTCTGCTGAGCCCGAATATATTCGGGATTCAAAATGACGTCAGGGCGCTGAGCCCGAATATACTCGGGCTGACAGGCTATCCTACTGTACTAATTTCAGTGTTCCAGCGTAGGGCTGAAAGAGACCCCAGAGTCGAGCGGTACATTTCCTGCATTCAGTACGAGAGGTTGCGGGTACGAATCCCGCTTGGATACTTTTTTTTCTTTTTTTTCGCCCGGTCATTCAACTCAAATTGGCGACTTTTTCGTATTTTACGCAATTTGGATGAACTTACGTGTCATATAGCACTTTGTTCCTTTTTCTGGGAACTATATCGAGTTGGTCAGCGTGATGATCATAGCCTTGGTCAACATTTCACAAGAGTTCAACAACCTAGTTGCCTAGACTATGAAGTTGTGGAGGTGTATATTGGCCCTATTTTTAGCATTTTCTTCAGAGCCTCAGAGGAAAGGCCCTGTAGCCCTCAATGGGTTAAAGGGGAAGTTAAGGCAAAAATTAAAATTTCACCAGTTGTAGTCTTCGGGGTGCTGAGTCGAATGGTCTTGGTCCGAGGAAGCCGAGACGCTTCCTTCCTACTTGAATCCCAATCGAACTCGCGCACTTCCACCGAAACTGGGTGACTGCGCCCTACTAGATGGGGATTTGTATGCAAAATGTCACTAAAAGCGCCATTGCGTTCTTATAAAAGCACGGATGACCGCGATTGGCCCATATGTTGTAGTCTTTTGGACGCTGAGTCGACTGGTTTTGGTCCGAAAAGACTGCGATGCAGCGTTCCTCCTTTATTCCCAATCGAACATGGTCGAACAAGTGGTCACGTGCTGCTGCGTACACCAGTCACCTGGTCACCGTGCCTGCAGGGTACAACTTACTAGCCTGCTCGACCTTTTTTGGGTGCAGTCCTGTCACTCGAGTTGAACTCGAGTTGAACCTTGGTGTGAAAGTTGTCGCCTGCTGGCGTGGTGACCAGGTGATTTGGGCACCCAGGAGCACGTGACCGCTTGTTCAACCATGTTCGATTGGGAATAAAGGAGGAACGCTGCATCGCAGCCTTTTCGGACCAAAACCAGTTGACTCAGCGTCCAAAAGACTACAACATATGGGCCAATCGCGGTCATCCGTGCTTTTATAAGAACGAAATGGCGCTTTTAGTGACATTTTGCATACAAATCCCCATCTAGTAGGGCGCAGTCACCCAGTTTCGGTGGAAGTGCGCGAGTTCGATTGGGATTCAAGTAGGAAGGGAGCGTCTCAGCTTTCTCGGACCAAGACCATTCGACTCAGCACCCCGAAGACTACAACTGGTGAAATTTTAATTTTTGCCTTAACTTCCCCTTTAATCCCCTTGCTGACACATTTAGCCCGTCAGTTCTACTACGCTCTCTCACACACCCTGTGTGCTGAGGACAGCGATGATTTGTTTGAGAGAGTTGGTCAAGTATTAGTTTCGAGAATAGTGGTTATCTTCTTGCTCAGCTTAGTGACAGTTGTGGTTTGTTTTGCCTTTGCGTTTCCTGGTTTCATTCTCTGCATTTCTTAGTTGTGTTCCCAATGTCTGTATGGCGGTTTCTGTGTGTTAGTTCGCTACATCAGAGGTTCGAGTAATTAGATTATAATACAGTCTTCACCGAAGGGGAAAGAGCCGAAACAACCTGCTTCCCTTAAGATAGGCTTCATTAACGCATGCAGCCTCCAGCACAAGGTCGATGTCCTTGCATCGCTGATGGCAGAACGTAAGTTCGACGTGCTGGGTATAGCGGAGACGTGGTTGGATTACACTATCTCAGTCGGCGAGATAAGAATTCCAGGGTATAGTATAGCGCGTTCTGACCGTGTAGGGCGACGAGGTGGCGGGACATGCTCCTACTACCGCCAGCACCTCCCTATAGTGCATGCTGCCGACATTAATTCGGAAGGTGTGGAGTCTACGTGGCTTGAACTGTTGAACTGAGAGGGCGCCAAGAACGGCACCTCCTAGCATGTACCTACAGACCACCAGATGCCACGGTCGCTTGTTGGCCAAAGCTTGAGGTTATGCTGCACCCAACCATCCAACCAACCAACCAACCAACTTGTGTGGTATATGCATGTACATGTATGTGTGTCAACATTGATTACGTTCTAAGGCCCAGTAAGGGGGGGGGGGGGGGGGGGGAGGAGGAGGGAGGGGTTGGGTCTAAACTAAAATAATTCGTTTTGTGAAGAAAGTTCGATATTTACGGATGCCCCTAATGTTTTTCGGACCATAACTCCAGGTCGACTCACTCAATCTCTATAATCGCGAGCTTCCTGGAAAAGGTCTACGCTAGAGAAAGAGGGTGAGGTTGACGATGATGGCCAGGGCGCGAAATCTCCATCACTGGAGAAGAGCGATGGTACAAAAAATGCTCCAACAGGGCGCCATTGGGTCCTGGTCCAGTCATTTCAGTTTCATCGATCACTGAGTATGG